TCCGTCTTAGTGTAAACCGTTTCTATAACTGAAATTGTTTATCAATTTCAAATCACGTAATTTATCACGTTTTTAACCCTTTAATGCTCCGTGGAAAAATCCTTATAATCCACTATAATCACCTCTTTATTCTATTTTCTATCATACAAAGATTTAATTATTAAATTAAGTAATTAAATTCAATCGAAAACTTTTCTCGCAAGAAAATCGCGTCGTGTTTCGTTTCTTTTCTTAATAAATTAAACCGTGTTGGATTAATTTAATTATCTCAAACAGATTACGTTTATCCAAGGATGAGAACAAATTTTAATTTTTGCTCTGAAACTTAATTTTAATAAACTTTATTTTATTTTATTTTTTTTCTCTCTTTGTGATTTATGACAACAATTAAACACGCGAAAAAATAATCTCTTTTAATGCTCCTGTTTTTTTTTTAACGCATCTCTTATACACCGTATTCGCGTTATATTATTCAATTTTCCAACCTCTCTGCTCGAGAGGCGGCGATCGTGTTCGAGGCGCAGTCACAGTACACAACACGCTGAATGTCGGCGCAAAACTTTCACGTTACCTAATTACGGGAGACAGGTGTACGGGGAGACGTCGTGACATTTGACGATTGGAACGGCTCTGTTTCGGTGATCCGAATTTACATTCACCGTAATATACGCCGTATTTACACGCTCGATAACGGGCTGTTGGGTAATAATTCGTAACGAAACGTAAAAAAAAAAAAAAAAGAAAAAAAAAGCGCGCACTGGTGGAACCGGTGCTTTCGCTTTCTCCGCTAGGAGAAACAGCCTCCTTCTCTTTTTTCCTTCCTTCTTTCTTTTTTTCTTCGATATTCGACGTCCATTTTTTTTACGCTCGATTTTCTGGAAAAGAAAAAAAAAAAAAATTCGTCCCGCTCCTGCGTGGAGAGAAAGCAATTTCGAGAAAACATTTCGAGAAAACAACGTGTACGAAGCTTGGTCGGATCACCCGGTATACGAAGAGAAGGAGGGGGAGGGGCCGTCAATGAAAGTTTGAACCCACCAGCCACCGCCAGTCACCCAGTATATGTCGCGCGGAGGAAGTCGGAGTAACAAGAAGAACCGGTCGACTAGTACAGTAACCATTTCGTATCCGTCATTTTTCCCGGGCCGATACCTGCTCTAACCTCGCTTCTGTGCCCCTTTATCCATCCATCCTCCTCCTACCATTTTAACTTCCAGTTTACGCTGGAAGAATTTTTTTTTCTTTCTCTCTCTTTCTCTTTGAAAGGGGACAACGATAAAAGTTAGCTTCACACAACGACGGATGATTTCGAGGCTCTTCGATAATTCGAGGAAAGAAAAACCACGATTGTACGTACACGCGAGTACACTTAGATTGACTTCTGGCAACGAGGAGGAGAGAAGTTCTATAGCAAAGTGGATAGGCAGGTTTTCCATCAGGGGTTATCGATTCGAGAAAAACTTGTCGCTGTTGATCAACGCCTTAACCCTTTGCACTTTTGCGTTTTGCCTCCTTTAAGAGGCTCAGAGTCTGTTCCATCTATCCTGCAAACTCTTTAAACGTTAATTATCTTTATTAGAAATTTGAATTTTTAATTTCCGATTTGTCTTAATTACGAACGATCGTCAAATATTTTTTGGGAGGAAAAAAAAGGTTCGATTATTCAATTTTAATTGGATAGTTCGATTTTCTTTCTTGAAACGAGACGAGACGTGACACATCTCTTTGGGTTCGTAACTATGCCAGATAACGGTAAGAAAAGTAAATTGCAGAGAGGAATCACAATCGTAGATAGATACGGGTTGTCGAGATGAAGATCGCATTGACAGAAAGTTAGATCGGGATTATTATCCCCTTGCTCGTTGCTACTTCCGGCAACGTGAGCAATGGTGAATAGTCGTGTATACGCGGGAAAGCAGGTAACCACGGTGCAACAAGATAAATTACAAAAACATCGATTGAGATACAATCGGGTAAAATGACTCGCGGTACTCTTGCTCTGTACTTTCTAATTATACCGTACCGCGGAAGAGAACAGTTTTTCGTGTGTTATCTACGCTTCCCCTACTACTTGCTAAGAAATATTCCAATTTTGCCAATAAATATTCCAATATTAAAGCGGATATGCGGATATATATGTAAAGTATGGTAAATAAATTTTTCCAGAATTTTCGATACAATGATGGATATTGATAGATCGTTGTAAGATTAATATCTTCCATAAGACAAATATTAAAGTTTCCGCTTAAATATCTTTCGATGCAGATTTAAAAAGATAAGAGATTCACTTTGAGAATTGAATGGATCTTGAAACTCGAGATATCTCTTAATCTTTGAAGAGTGAGAAAAAGAAAGGGAGAAAAGCGGGAAGAGTGGTGAATTAAGAAAGGTGAATTAAGAAGAAAAGGAATAAAAAAGGACTCTTCCAGTTTTGATCAAACTAGGCTGTGCAATTTTCCATGATAACGTCTACGGCACAAAGGAATGATTAAAGATGATAAACATCACGACGAATGAAAGAAAGAGAGTTTACAGTTGTAATTGTGATACATGATAATAATATTAATTCGTTTATTTTTTATTCGAGCCACGATGCGAAAGATCGAATGTCTAATAGAAACTGCGAAGAATTCTTTCGCGTTGCATAATTATTACGATGCAATTAGAGTATAACCGCGTTGGTGGTGGAGACAGGAAAAGGAAACGTCGGCAAGGAAAAGATACGCAGCCCTAAAGGTATCATTTGCATTTGCTTCTAGAGCCAGGTTTTGCACCGATCTGCACGCATGACTAATCGAACAAGTCGTCAGGGCACGTGTATAGTGATGAATAATTTCGTAATATTGATAAAAATTGATCAAAAGTAAACGATATCGATGAATTTTTTAATAATCTAACCTCTAGATAAATAATTAAAAAGAAAAATCAGGAAGAGGTTGAATAATAATATGATTAAAAAAGTGTTAAAGAAACGTTCAATTCAAGACAAATAAATTAGCGAATAAGCTAGCGAAAGAAATAGCTAATTTTATAGCTAAAATATATATTAACAGTTTAGTCTGTATTCAATGGCGAGTTTCCAAGATTAAAATAAAAATATAAGATTATTGCAACAAGAAATGATATACGTATTAATCATAAACCAAAAACAATATAATGTAAAATATTATAAAATTATGTCATTATAAAAATGACATAAATTTTTATCTAAAAGAAGAGCAGAGTGTGATTTCAAAATTTAGAATAACACAAAAAAGTTAAGTTGGAATGTTGTATGAGGATTCAACGCACACACATTTTTCGATTTCATATATAAATAAATACTTTTGTCTATTGAATTCGATTCATAGTTGATAAAATGTATAATGACTTTTATATAATTATAATTAAACGATGCATAGCAAAAATTTGATCATAATAACTACTGGTTATATTTATTATAATCATTAAATCAAATCTTGAACGCGTAACGATTGAAAAATACTTTGATATCATTAGTTTATTCTCTTTTAAAAACAATAATAACGATCAATTTCGATGTTATTCGATGAATCTGTTGGAATCTTTTTCAACTTCTCATTAATTTTATTATATTAGAATCCCATGAATTTTTTATTCTTCGTATATAAAATTCTGTTAATAGTTACCACTTCGACAATTATGATTTTAAGGTTATAATGAATAATTCATAATTGTCACAAATTGTTAAGAAATTAAAAAAATATGAAAAATTATTAAATTGTAAAAATCTTAAAAATGTATTGTTTATTATATATGATTACAATAATTAAATTAGAAAAATAAATAATAAATATTTATTTCTTTTTAAATTTAAATATATATTAATAGATGCTGTTTCCCTTTCCTTATAACCAAGCAAATTAATTTTGAAGAAAAAAATTATAAAATATTTAATTAGGCATTAAACTTCAATATAAAAAATATGTGAAACATTGGCTGGAAAATATTTCTATCGTCCAAGATTTGTCGTCAAGATTTAATTTACTCAGGCATTTTCACTTACCATGACTGCGCTAGTATATGTTCATCCGTGTATTAAGCGTGCCGGTGTGTCATCTAATGTTATTGTATACTGCTGTTTAACCTAAGCATGTCTACAAAGTAGCCGATAACATCAATTAATTGCTCCAAAATTTGTTGCAATCCAAAATCACTAATTAATAATAATATTCGGTTGATGATAGTTACACAGTCAACACAGATCACCATATGTAAACACACACACGTTCTTTGCGATACGCGTGGGATCGCGCTTGTATTAGTGCGCGCACTCTCATGCACTATCAAGTTCGCACAGAAAAACTTATTCGATAGTTTTTCTGGAAATTTAAGGAAACGTGATATCTATCACTAATTTGATCGATGAATTTTTTAATGACCACTAATAAAAAATAATTGTCAGCGATATATATTTCGCTATATTTTATATTTTCGTTTTCAACATTTTTCGCGCCGTTTTAACAAAACTGTGAAAAGTTACGTATAAAACGAAGAGAAGTTACGGATTTTCAACCTGGCGGACACCGACTGAGCTCTCAACCGGCAGGTAGGTGAGCCATCGCCCCTCCACTGTACTCACCACCACGGCCGCTCACCATTCTCCATTCTCTTTGCCTTTGCTTTACTTGGCTCTGTCTTGTTCTTTCATTTTCGTACGATTCCTCTTGGAATCTGAACTCTTATAATTAATAAATTATTATTATATTTTTTTTAATTTTCAAATATTAGTTTTATTTTTATTATATTTGATCTAATTTTAAATACATTTTTAAATTAATTTTTTATCTTAACAGAAAAATTTAAAATTTTATAAATAAAAAATAAAATAGATATAAAATATTTTATATATTATTTACATTTTATTTTTTGAAAATAATTATAATTATAGTTATACTGATTAATAACAATAATAATAATAATAATAAATATTGCATTTATTTATAAGATAGGTAAACAATAAATATTTAATACTTAATTGGAATTCATTTTTAAATATAATTTTATTTATATACATTAAATAATTATTGCGTATCAATAATTGCTGTTTCATCTATTTCTTCTTCGTTTGTTTTTTTATCAGTTTTTGTGGTAATATAATCTTGATAATTAATTGCAAGAGATTCATCAGAAAGTTCACTTCTAATTTGAATTCTATAAAATTTGTATACATTTAATTTTAATTATTTATATTTATGTTTATATATTTATATAATACTATTACTATAATATTATTTTAAAATAATTTCATATATTAATTATTAATTTAAATGAATTTACCTTACAATAAATGATGCATCATTACGTGGCTTCATTACTTCAATATCATTTATTAATGCACGAAAGTTTTCTTCCAAATATTTTATATCCATATCAAGCTAAAAAATTCACATTTAAAATATGATATAAAGTGTTTTTTCATATTATAAATTATAAATTTACCAAGCCAAAAGTCACATTAATTTGACCATATTCTTTGAAAATTTTATGAGGTATTGCAGTATACCCAATTCCATTTTTGAATTTTGTAACAAGTTTGTTCATATCAGTACCCAAACTACCTAAAATATTTAAATTATTTATATTTAATTTAATATTATAAATAAATATTTATATTTCATTAAAATAATATACTTATTTTTTACCTATTCTCATGTTTGGAAATTTCTTTTTCAATAATCCTCTAATTAATAATAAATCGGATAAAATATTTGCATGAGCTACAATAAAGTCATACTCTTTGAATTGAAATGTTCCATTCTGCAATAATTAAATTCATAAATAAATTCTACACATTATGATTTTATAAAATGTTATATATATATATATATATATATATA